GGGATTGACATGTAAAATAATTTTCTTTCTAATTAAAATAAAAAGAAAAACAAAACAAAAAATAAAATCTGGGGTGAAAGATCCTGTCATTGTTTTAATTAGCATATATTAATTATACAGTGTACTTTAATTATACTCTTTTCCCATCTCTCTATCTTCCAATTTTGCTCCCCTCTTCTCAGATGGTCTGGGGTGAGAAATTTATTCCTTAGATGTCTAGGTAGGTGCTGTACCAATGAAGGGAGTTGAGATTGTGAGCATCAACTGTATTATACTTGCGCTAAAAAGCATTGGTTGAATTTTCCTTTGACATTTATTATATTTAGGAAACATAAAATATCAAATACTTTGAAATTTCTAGTCCTATTTAAGAGAGATTTTTTTTTTCAGCCAAAGGCCCACCAGGCGATGTGCACTGTCTAGATTGTGCTGCTGTAGTGGGATTTGATTCCAGGGACACAAACAGTCCCAGACAGCAGAATGAAAATCAGAGTCAAGCATCTGAAAGGACAAAGAGAACTGTAACATCAGGAAACGACTCTGCTTCATAACCCTGAAGACCTGTTGCTGTTTCATGCAGGCATCGAGTAAGCCACTATGGAGGCCAGAAAAGAACCTTATTACAAGATAAGGTAGAGGTAGATTAGGTGTCCATTTTGCTGTATAACACTAGATGGCGCTCTGTTTTTGTTTACACACTGGATTGACACACCCACCCTAGGGTTCTATCGGTACATGTGCACACAGAACTACCAGTCATCCGAAATTCCATTTACCCACAAATAGTACTTTGGTATTTCAGTCCTTTATCCCCCCTGTTAAAATGACCCGAGTCTTTATTTGGGAAAGAATAATGCCACTGACATTACTGTCCAGCACATTGGCGAAGTTAGTGAAGTGAGGAGTACTTTGGGTTTTATTCGTAGTCTCCACTGAGTTTAATGTATGTCAATAGCCAAAGTTGTCGGGGGGGGGGGCGAGGGGGGGCGCGGCAGGGATAAGTCCACTCTGGCCAGGACAGGAAGGGCATCCTCTGCCTATTTCTAATTAAGTGACCTAAAAAGCTCCAAAGACTTGGAAATAGAAGGAGGACCAGTTGGGAAGAGGAAGGGCTCAGCTGGAGTGGGGGGGGGAGGCAAGAGTGGGTGATAGAGTATTGCTGGCTTTAACCATGCATGAGAATTACCCTTTACTCTCATAGGTAAGGTCTTTGTCGATTTCTCTTCCTGTAATAAAATACCATGGATTAAGTCATTCATAAAAAATGCTTCTTTTCTTACAGTTGTGGAAGATGGGAAGGCCAAGATAAGGCAGCAACAGATTTGCTGACTTATACTTGCTGTCTTCTCAAGATGAGGCCCTTGAATCCTTTTTTTGGAAAGGATCCTAATTCATAGCTTCATTTCTTCTTGTTGCTGTCATCATCATCATCATCATCATCATCATCATCATCATCATCATCGTAATCATCATTTTCATATATGAATTTCACAAACACACAGACATTCAGACCACAGCGGATGGGATTTCCAAATTGGTATCGTACCTGTGCTCTCAACAGGACATACCCCAGATCTACTGAGTGCCTGTTCTAATTGATGATGCACATTCCAGGTGAATGGTTTCCGTAGGGAAGCCCCATTATTAAGATTTGTTAGATATAAAACAGTTCTTTGGTTACAGGTAATGCTTTTGAAATAAGCTTGGTGGTGCAGGTTTAAAAAATGGTGGCATTAGCCAGGTGGTGGTGGTGCACGCCTTTAATCTCAGCTCTTGGGAGTCAGAGGCAGGCAGATCTCTGTGAGTTCAGTGCCAATCTGGTTTACAGAGTTAGTTCCAGGACAGGGTCCAAAGCTACTCAGAGAAACCCTGTCTTGAAAGAAAAAGAAAGATGGTGCTTGCCAGACAGAATGTAGAAGGCAAAGCAGATATGCTGGAATATTACTTATTTTGTTTGAAAAATTCCATTTATTTAATGTAAGTAATATCACTAGAAAACTGCAGAAAACTGTTCAGATTTTCTTAGGCACAGTAAACAAAACAAAACAAAACAAAACAAAAACCCAAAAACCAGAGCAGGCTAAGAGCTGGTATTATTTATATATAATTACAGCATTCCACTTCCTCCAGGAACCCCAACTTCCTCCTTCCGCTTCCCCCAGGAAGTGATGGAATCTCAAATCTTAGACACCATTATGGATCAAATGATGTAAGCAAATGTACAGGAGTGTGAGATTAATTTTGGTTGTAACTTGGCTGGTTTGAGGTATACCTGGAGAACTGGCCTCTCTCTCTCTCTCTCTCTCTCTCTCTCTCTCTCTCTCTGAGTTAGTTTGATATAGTCCCAAATAAAAATAAACATATAAAAAGTCTTCTACAGCTCTGACCACAGGGTAGGGTAGGGGGAGGTTAATGTGGTATGTTGGTTATAGAGAAGGCTTGATGAACCACCAAAGCCAGCTCTTAACATCTTATGGGGAAGTTGAAAGAGTGTGTGCAAAGTTTATAAGCCTTTCCAAAAAGGCTCATGTATTCTAATTTATTTAAGTTTTAAAGGACTCTGTGTGTGTGTGTGTGTGTGTGTGTGTGTGTGTGTGTGTGTTAAATCATGTGAATTTGGTAGGAAAAATGGTGGGGGGATAGGGTAGGAATTGGGGGAAAGGGAATGGGGTATATAGTTGATCAAAACACAGTATAAGCATGTACAAAATTCTCAAACAATGAAAAAGAAAAAAATTCACACGAAAAGTTTGCATTTTAAAAGAAAATGTGGAGAATCATTTTATAAAGTAAAAACATTAGAAATAAATCAGATTAATGAGTGTTGGAAAAAACAAAGTTTATTTTATGTGTGTGTGTTTGCGTGTTTATGTGCACATGTGTGCCATGGAAGCCAGAAGAGGATGTTGAATACCCAGAGTGGAAGTTATTAGGCAGTTATACTGCCTGATGTGAGTCCTGAGTGAAAGGTTCAGGCATTATGCTGGCCTGCCCCTGTTACCTGGTGGAATCCACTCAGGCAATACCCCGGTCAGCCCAAGGTTCCATGGGAAAGAAGTCTGCACGCAGGTGCAGAGGACCCCTTTAAAAGATAAGTCCCTGCACCTTTACGCTCTCTCTGTGTCTCTCTCTCCGTGTCTCTCTCTCCATCCCTCCCTCTCTCTCTCTCTCTCTCTCTCTCTCTCTCTCTCTCTCTCTCTCTGTCTCTCTCTCTCCCCCTGTTTCTCTGTTTCCCGCTCTCTCTCTCTATGGCGACCGGCCATGGCGGTCAGCCATTACCCTGTTCCTCTTCTTAGTCTCCCCATTCTACCGGCTCTTATAATAAACTTATAGTCAATATGTCTGTCTCAACAATTTCTCTTTTCTTCTTTTTAAACAAAACAATAACACTGAGAACCAAAATCTGGTCCTCTGGAAGAATAGGAAACACTCTACATCACCTCCCAGCCCCGTATCTCCTAGTTTAATCATAGTAAAGATTCTGTGAAGCAATCATCACTTACAATGTATGAATGAAGACTAAAGATCAAGGAAGTCATTTGCTCATAATTACATATTTGCTAACAGATCCAGAAATGAATAGCCCAGTTTTCCACTACCTCATGTTTGACAGATGATCTCCAAGGGCATTCCTGGGAGAGAGAGAAAGTTTGCTTCATGAGTGTAGCCTTACTTTTCAATACTGTCATTTCCTAGGCACCACCTTGGGGTTAAATAGAGAAATGTTTTTCTTCTCTCTCCCAAGTTTCCCAGTCCTAAAGCACTGAAGTGTGTTTCTGGCCACCCTGCTCCCTCTTTGGCAGAATTTGGGGGACCACACTGATGCTCTCTAGATGCCGGCATTCTTCAAAGTCTCTTCCACAGAAGGACAGAGTATACCCCAGTCTAATCACCCACTTGCTTTCCATCTGCCTTCGTCTGTCACTGGAGTTCATGGGGCTGGGTCTTTGGGAAAAGTAGCCACTCCATATGAGGTGTCTGAGCATCCTCCTGGTGCCCCAAAGAAAACTCATTGGGAACTCAAGCACTTGTCTGATGCTTTCACACCAGGTCTCAGAGCTGCCTGTCCCAGAGCTCAGGGACCTCAGCAAGGTGAGCCACATAAATCTCTTGGATTTATGTCTGGTTCCCAGCAGACCTGTTATGTCTCTACTTCTAACAGGAAGATTATAAAGTGCTGGCCTTTATGGGCACAACAAAAGATGCTTCTTATTAACAGAGGGACAGATGAGAGGAGACACAGGCTCTGGAGCTGTGGTGAGTGGACGGATGAGGTGCCAAGTCTGGGCTGGGGACTGGGCACCAGAGCCTTGCACCATCTGCCTACATCATCCTCCCTGCCACTGAGCAGAACAATATCCATCTAGAGCAGCCACCTCCCCTCTGGGTCAGTCATGGCCTGAGATATGATAGTGACTGGATGAGGGCTTTTCCTGATCTTATAACATAAGGGGCTTGGGTTTGTGAGGCCCTCATTAGGTCTGAATGTTCCTAGGTGGTCTAGATCAAGGACTATCATGAGAAGATGGGCACCTATGGATGAAGGGAAATACTGTTCTTCGATTCTCAACTAACTGGTCCAATCTGGGAAAAGCTACAGGTGTTCCTTGGGATTCCTGCAGTGGCTGCTTCAGGCACAGGCAGAATCTGAGGCAAAGTTGTATGGCAAATTTACCTGCAACATGTGATTTGCCTCAGTCTGAGGTCCAGCTGCTTTGCTAAACCTCCACCCAAATGGCAATTTCTGACTAATCTGAGCAGGGCAGGTGACAGTCTCTCTTCTGCTGAAGTAACTTGGTCTGAGTCACATTAACACTTACTAGGGCCTTATGATACCTTGATGATTTTATAGACCCTCACTGCCATTCAAGAGTTCTCTTAATAAGTACTCCTATTATTTCTTGTTTACAAATCAGGAAATTTAGGACAGAGAGGTGTCAAAACATGCCCAGCACTCACAGATGGCAAGTAGCAATGCTAGGATTCAAACCAGACTCTATGGATCTAAAGTACATATTTAAAATAATTTTAGATTAATTTAATTATTTTATTTTTTATGTAGAGTGTATTGCATGCATGTATGTGTGCACACTACATGTACTCTCAAAGGGTTGTGATCTATCATGTGGGTTGGGGAAGCCAACCTGGGTCCTCTGCAAGAGCAACAAGACCTCTCAATCATCAATCCATTTCTTCAGCCCCTAGAGTGTGCACCTGGAATTCTGTGCTGCCTGCCTAGAATATAATATATACTATATGCCAACATGTTCCAACCTCTGAAATGCCAATGTGAAATGTATGCTTTTAATAGAATACCCATATTAATCATGCTACAAAAGACACCCAAGGAAGTTAAAGGGATTTAACATTTGCAGTGAGCTCAGATGTCCTTGGATTTATCTGTGTTAATCCTGGAGGGAAGAAGCCCAATGGCCTGACTATGAAATAGTCATAGATGCTTGTGATTTACATAAAAGGCGTTTGTGTCAGTCTCTCTGTCTGCTTCTCTCTCTCTCTCTCTCTCTCTCTCTCTCTCTCTCTCTCTCTCTTTCTCTCCCTCTCTCCCTCTCCCTATCTCTCTCTCTCCAAACCTCCCTCCCTTCCTATCATCTATATGTCTATAGCTATTACAGTTTAATACTAGATATATTCTGGACCTATTCTAGGCTTTAACCTCACAGGTTAAGTATAAGATTTTAGTTGCAATTTTTTTAGAAGCAAAGACAATACTCATCCGTTTAGATTTTGAAGATCAACTGTTTAAAATATTTAAAGAGATTTAATACAAGTCAGAATAATACAAGTCAGAATAATAAAAAGAGAAGGATGTGATTTATTTAAAGACCAAGATTTTTCCTATATAGATCATGAGTGTGCAAACAAATGAAAGTTTTACAAGATCCTCCAGTTTTCATTCTTTTCACTTGACCTCATTGCAGCTCCACCGAGAGCATCAGACCTGAGTCAGTTACTAGTTTCCAGCCACAGACTCTGAGGATCCCAGTTTGTAAGGGGTGTAGGGAAGGAGGTGTGGAGAGCAAGTCACATCTTCACCCACCCACACTCATCCTCTACCACATAATAAAAGCTTCAGCCAGGCAGGCAGCAGAGAAGGTGGAGGACTCCTGAGTTGTCTGGTGTCCATGAAGACAGTCTGTGGCTTCCTAGGCAGGCACCTGTTTCTGCCATGCCAGTCTCTGCTAAGTGTAGGATTCAGTACTATGACTTATTTTTCTGTGTCTTCCCTTTTGGCCTTAGGACCCAGCTGGCAAAGCCCGAGACTTAAATCCTCACATTCCCTTGAGTGTTGGTGACTGATGATTGGTTGCCATAGAAACTTTCTTAGGGTCTCCAACCTTCTCTAAGCTGGACCATTTCCTTTCAAGATTCATAGTTAAGCTATTGGTGATAGACTTCTTTGATTAACAACAAAATAGACTTTACTCACAATCTTCTGGAATCTGGATAAGTAAAATGATGGAAGGGCAGAGAATATAATTTAATTTTTTCATCCCCAGAATCGACTGTGTTATTGATTTTTCTATCTGTCTACCCACCCTAAGCATCATTTATTTATTTTATCTATGACCCACCCCTTTCCACCAGTACCCTTGCCCTGTCTGCATCTAGTTTGATCAAGTGTCTCAGTCCCTCTCTCAGGAGATTACAGCTTTGAAGAGAACATTCTTCTCCCTCAGCCATAATGCCATAACTAAGCTCACAGTTTCCAACACTGGATGGCCATGAAGCTCCTGAGCTCCTTTTGGTTTGGGGTAGAGAAACATGAGACTACTCAAGGACTAGTGACTGGGACATCAAAGTGTCCATGGAGGAGACAGGGATGTTAGACGAAGAGCACTCTCAAGTATGTAACTTTGTGTCACCTCTTTGGGGACAGATATTTCCAGCACTAGTCATGTTAAGAGGCACAATAGGTAACAGAAAACACATCATAACACAGTGCCTAAGCAAACCCTAGGATCTGGCTGCCTTGATGTCTATTCTGGCTATTCACTTCTTAATTTTATGATCTGAGGCAAGTCATCAAATTACTTGGTGCCTCAGTTTTCCCATGTGAAAATGGGAGTGATAGTTTTATTTTCATAATATAAAAGCCCTCAAAACTAAGTAATTTGTTATTATTATTTATTGAGACTGGAGCTTATTATGTAACCTAGAATGGCCGAAAACTCACAATCTCCCTGTCTCTACCCCTCCTGTGTAATATATATATATATATATATATATATATATACATACATATATATATATACATATATATATAATATATATATATGAAAGAGATAGTTATATTTAAAAAGATTTTGGGAGTGAGAATGCTGAATGACAGACACACAAGCATTGGTATCAAATCGTTTGGTTCTTTTGATTACTTCTAATGAAGTGTGATAGGATTTCTCATCTCTTAGATTTTTTTTTTGTCTTCAGGAAGGAGACAATGCTAGTCAAAGGCTTTAGAAGTCGAGGGATTTTGTGAGATTTGGGCTATAAAATCCTAGGTTAGGGCATGGCTAACATTGCACTTTCATCAATGCCTTCAATGTATGTATCAATGCCTTCAGTG